CAAACAGTGGCGTAACTTACAACTTGTGTCCTTCCTACAAATATACAACATTTTTTTTAATATTATAATGTTATATTTTTGTTCCCTAATTATTATTGTATGAAAATTATTTATAGTTTTTACGTTACTATTACATTTTTATGGAAGCGAATTATTTTTGTACTCGAAATTTTATCAATTTTTACTCAGCGAATACCTGATAACATTTTAGATTTCATTAGATTATCAGTAATAATAAATCACATCTTCTTGCCCATACTTTTTGCTATTTTCGCTTTAATTTGCTTTCAGTTTAAAATTATTGTAATGTATTCAGTCATTATTAACTAAGAGAAGTATTTCTGTACTCAACTTTCAACAATTTTTACTCGAGAGAATACTGGCTAGCATTTTAGTTTTAATTGCAAAATATGTAATAATATCTCATTAATCTTTTAATGGACATTTGAATTAATAAAATAGACGGATAATATGTTTTTCCCATTTATATATTTATATTTAGGACGCTTCATTTTCTGTTTACTTTAAAATATTATTGAATATGTAAATTACATTTGTTACATAAAAATATCACAAATAATTGAAAATTGGGTGGAAAAAGATTTATATAAATACGTTAGTTATTTGTATATTATTATTAAAATTATATATTTTGTGTATGCATTTTATTGAAAGATTTTCAGACCAGGCGAATCGCAATTCAATTATAAAATGCACAATCATCATAATATTTTCTTTTAAGTAAGCTTAAATCATTTATTTAGTGATATTTACAAAAAATGAAATTTATTTGTTTATTACTAGTAGAATGTAAATAATATCCGAGTCCTATTTTTGCTATTCAAATATATATACATTAATAAGACAGTAAAATAGTATTTAAATCTATTTATATAAATATTAATTAAAGTTTCCAAAGTTTAAAAATATTTCAAGTTTGCAGATACTGATTGTTGGTATTACAAATTTTCAAATATTTCGCAGATAGAAAGTTTCTTTATTATTTACTTGTAATTTTCTATTGCTCCCTTAAAGTATACCTGAAATACTCGAGAACTTGTAGCATAAAATTATTTGTAATTAGCATCCATATTATTAAATAACATAAAATAGATCGTTAAAAATACATTAAAATATGTTTTTGCAACATTCACTTACAGACAAACAGTGGCGTAACTTAAAAGTTGTGTCCTTCCTACAATATATTGTTCCTGTCATTTCCGATTGTTGTAATTTATATATTTTAATATATTTTTAACGATCTATTTTCTTTTTATGTTATATGGATGCCAATTACAAATAATTTAATGTCTAAATCATATTTGTTAAACATTCGAAAAAATAAATATAAGATATGTAATTCTAAGATAGATGGTGAGATATTTGTAATATTTTGATTTATAATTTAGTCGGAAACTCTTAGGATATTATTAAAATTTTCTTCTAAATATTATAAATCATGAATAAATAAAATACGATGTTTATAAATTATATGTACATTTATTTATTTCACAAATTCAAGTATTTACAAAATTTCTAACGTCGGATGGTGAAACACTAGTTGTTTACTTCGTTCCTAAAATGTTGTTTTAAATTTATTAATTTTTGTTCAAAAATTTGAAGACAATTTATTATATATTCATACTGCGCCACAAATCCAGAGATATAATTTAAGTCGGAAATATATACTTTTCGTTCCAACTGCACATTTTTGTCAAAATATATGACATACTGGTTGATACTAATTATCATTTGCCGATAGAAATGATCAATTTCCATTCCATACTCATACACCATATTGTTTATCCATTCGGTGGGTATATGCGATGATGCGGATACGTTTAACCCTAGAATTATCCTCCACTCTTCCCACAATTGTTTCTCACTTAAACGTGCAACCAAATTTTTTGCAATCTCGGATATTCTAGGTATTTCGATTGAATACTTCATCTTTTTATAGTTATTTAACTTCTGTGTCATTTGGGAATGCACCAACGCCAACTCTTGCACTTGCATCTGCATATCTTGCATATTGATAGGTAGCAACTAAGGACTTGTCTGAACACGAACTGTAGATGAACTGTAGACGAACTGATGCAGTGAACTATTTTATAGTTTGGGTTGTGGGTGGTGGTCTTGGAGGTGGGTGGTGGTGTTTGGTGATGGGTGGTGGTGTTTTTGGTGGTGGTGGGGATGCTACAAGTTCTCGAGTATTTCAGGTATACTTTAAGGGAGCAATAGAAAATTACCATTGCGTTTTGCGTTTTAAATTTCTTTATTAATGTTAAACTAATGTTACAGATTATTGTTATGGTTTTTGTGGCTTAATTTCCAACAAACAATATATAAGAGACATGGATGAAGTCTCTTTGAATACTCCGAATTCTTTTTTCAAATAAACAAAACCATCAAATCCGAATTCCGTGGGTACTCTTAATCATTAATATAAATAAAGCCGAATATGATGAACTTCAAAAACAAAAAACTCTCAAACAACCATCGGTTAAAAAGAGTAAATTTGTAGAAAAAAGGGCAAGCACAAGTCTTGGTCAACTAACAGAACAAACTGAAATGAAAGTGATTAAAAAGGATATGACTGTAAATATAACATTACAAAGTACATGAGTTGAACTAGTCTCTAATTGTATTTTAAATAAAATTATATGAAAATTTGATATTTGACTCGATTTTCAATATTAATTTTAACTAATTTAAATTGTTTGTTTTTTTTTTCGATTTTAAATTTTAATTTCAACCGCAACCGAACCAAAATATTTAGACGAACTGAAACCGAATCTGGAACGATAAACATTTACGTGGAACGTAACCGTAAACCGGAACGAAATTAATTTTGGTTCGACTCTCTGATTGGAGCAGTCACATAAAAAATATAATTTATTTTTATACAATGACAATTATCGAACAAAAATATAATTTTCATAAGACAAGTGTTTTTAAGTGTTGTTCTTTAACGAAGAAGAATGGAAAAAATGTGAATTTCGAGGCTTCCAAGTTGAGCAATCTTTCAAAAGAAATTGATGTAAACTAAATAAGTAT